GACGCATGGCCGCAGCCTCGTCGCCAGCTGCGCCGGCCATGCATCGGGTGCCACCTGCACGCGGAGAGCTCGTCCTCCTACGTCGTCTCCATACCTTAGTCCTTGCGAAAAGTCCAATAATAAAAGCCAAGCTGTGAAAATCCCCACACAGACTCCCGTCCACCAAACGGTTTGTATGGAGATGACTCTCCACCAGCCAACGGCGCTTTTCTATTGCAGCCAATCCCATGCCAGCAAAAATTCTTTTTGGCCAATCCAATGCGAGATAGAATCTACCAATCCGCGCCACTCGATGGGATCTCGCCGCCAACATTAAAATACGGACCATTTTAATGCACCCAATAGGCCACGTACAGAAGCGCCACAACGCAATTTTATTCCACGACCCGTGAGATTGCACTTTATTTTAATGTCATTGCCAGCCGCCCGATCGCACCAATTTCCCAAGATTCGCACCACCGAAGCGACCATGGCCGACGCTGCGGCAACCGATGCTGCCGGTACCTGGCCGAGACTGGTGCTACCATGGTCAGCAGTGGCAGGGCTGCCCACTGCCTACGGCGGCGCCATCGACTGCCCAGGTACTGAGGCCGCCATGGACGAGAACACAATTGCATTGCTCTTGGATGCGGGCCGGGTATGATGGCGAGCAACCATCAGAGCTGGCGAGCAACTACAGTGTCTACAGTGTTGGTGATGCTACGATTGGCGGGCGTCATGCGAGCAGTTGACGCGATTGAATGATAGCCTCGGCGTGAGGGCAGCAGCACGGGGGTCTGGGAAGCGCACTCGTATGTCCGGCACGCCCACCCATGCGCTGGCGTCCAAGCTAGCGTCGCGTCAAATGGCCACAGGCAGCGCAGGGATGGAAAGCCGCCATGGCGAGCGTCGAGCTCGTGTCGTGTGGGCCACACGTCGGCGGCTCCAGCGTAATCACTGCAACGGATGTTTCACTCCACGGTGGCGCCAATGGCCTTGCCGCTCTGGTGTGGCTTGATGCTCGCTTCACGCGTCGACGGTGTGCTAATACCTCTGAGCGGGCGCGAGTTGGACGAATAAGTAGTTATCAAATAGAGCACTGGATCTTTCTATCGTACTAGTCGACGTCGCAGCCGTAGAGCTGGATGACGTCGTGAGCGCGGACGTTCTCGGGCCGCGCGGCAATCATGGCCGGTGACACGCCGTTGAAGTTAACGGCATTCACATTGGCACCGTACTCGAGGAGGACGCGGATGACGTCGAGGCGCTTCTCGATGCACGTTTCTTCGCGTCGGAGCTGGACGGCCCAGTGCAGCGGCGTAAACCCAAAGCCGTCGGGCAAGTTGACGTCGGCGCCGGCTTCCAGGAGCACACGCGCCATCTCGGAGAGCGCTTGCTGCGCGCAAATGTGCAGTGCCGAGCCCTTGTCCTGGCCCTTGCTGTTCGGGTCGGTGCCCCGCGACAGGGCCTTCTTGGCGCTGTCGACGTCGCAGTTGCGAACCGCATCCCGGAGGTTCTCGCCCGCTATTTGCTTGCACATGAGAACTGCATCGACAACATTGCGTGTACATACCGAGGCCCGGCGCGTTGCAGAACGTCGCAATGCCATAGACAACGCAGAAGAAGAGAGCGAGCACAATTTTGGCCGAGAAGCGCGCATAGGCAAGCACCTCGCCGTACCCGCCCGCCGGGTCGTGGATCGATGCGACGCCGGTCGTGAACGCCGAGAGTGGCAGCGCTTGCGCACCGCCGACCGACTGCAGCCGCGCCACGTAGGCTTCGTGGAGCCGGTGTGCGTATTGCGGGCCCGTCGTGGCCTGCAGGACGACCGTGGCTTCCCAGACCGCGACGACCAGCGCGTACACCGGCATGCCAAAGAGGCGGACGGCGCCGCCGGCGAGCGTCATGGGCGTCGCTAGCACATACTTCCATAGGTATGGCTGGTCGCTGCGCGCGTCTTCGCGGAAGAGCGTCGTGGCGGCGGCAATGAGACCGATGTACATGCCGAGAAGCGCGGACCGATGGTGGTTGCTGTGCAGGTAGTCGCTCAGCATGCCCAGCAGGTACTGCGCGAGCATGATGCGCGGGTACTCCCAGACGAAGCCCGCGACGACGAGGAAGACGCCGACCTTCGTGTGGTGGTGCAGCAGCTGCTTGAGCATCCGCGTCGTCGATCTTAAACTGGCCATGCTTCAGTACACGACCAGCGTTGTTCCATCGTTCGAAAAAGGAAAAAGCCTAATTCGGAACGATGCCTTGGCTACGCCCAAACTCATTTTTTGTATGCTTGTCCTAGTTGAGGTCGATCGAGATCAGGAATGCCGCCTGGTTTTTACGTGGCAGCATGATGCAGTGCGAGCTTGCCCAAGGCCATGACCCAACCCGAGACGCCGCCGCCGCCCTTCTGATAAACTGCTAGAGTGCTTTCAAGCTCCCTAATTGAATCAAGGTACTAGGATGGTTGGCAGACTCTGCCGCAGTGTACAAGCGTGAACGGCTTGGGGTGGTGCCGGCAGTCTCTCCCACCAAAGCTGTACCATCGTGGTTTGACAGCGCAGGGCAACTGCAACGTGCTTGCTTTATGCTGCCAGGCGAATCGCGCACCTTCGGTGAAATGCAAAGGTTAATAGTGATATTATGTGTGGCGGGTTAATCGAGGCACACGAGCGGCTCGGGCGCGCCCGCAAGGTCCTTGACGGCCAGTATGACAACCGACTCGACCTGCGTCATGACATACGCCAGTAGCACCTGCATATCGGCTTCCGTGCCCTTGACGTAGAGAGAGAACTCGTCGTCGCGTACAGTCGCGGCCGCCCGAAACATCTTGTGGCCGTCGTCGTCGATTGCCAGCGAATTCGTTTGCGTCGAGAGGAACGTCATGAGCGCATCCATGTCGTCGAGCTGTCCCTTGAGCGCGAGGAGCTGGCGAGGCACCGCGGCCACCTTGGCGGCACTGTAGAACCGACGGGCATCCTTCTGCACCCGCTTCTTGCGCTTGGGCTTGTGCTTGTCGTCCTTGGGCGCGACCGAAAAGTCAAAGTTGGCAGGCACGACGTCGTCGTCGTCGTCGTTCTCGTCATAGTCGTCCTCGTTGTTGTCCGCGCCGTTGGATACCGAGGCTTGCATCGAAACGAGCGATGTATAGCCGCTGCCATCGACGTCGGCCTCCGCCTCTTGCAGCGAGAGCGCCAAGGCGTAGTCCACGTCCGCCGCCAGCGCGTCGACGCTGTAGTCGGAACCATCTTCAAAATCCCGCGGATCGTACCCTGGCGGCAAGTCATCCTCAAAGTCCTTGGGGTCGTAGCCGTCGGGGAGGCTGTCCTCGAAGTCTCTGGGGTCATAGCCTTCCGGGAGGTCGTCGTGTGTGGCAGCAAGGGCGCGTGCATACGCTTCGTCCATGATCTCGCGCAGCGGCACGGGCGATGTGGTCGTCATCTTGCAAAAGGCAAAGTGACATGGCCCGTGCGACGATCGCCTTGGCCACGAGCGGCGTTCGGGGCACGTTCCAGTGATGCTGTGATGACGATGACCAGCACTCGACGTTTTGAGAATGCAGGTCATATCTGCGACATGTGTGTTGGATGTCAAGTTGCGTGCGGTTTGTTTATGGACAATCACAATGATGGACAATGGTGTTGTCTTACTTGATGGTGACAAAGTAGTGTTTGAGATTCTTGATGTTGTCGACAAGACTCGACACGTCGTCGAGCTGACCGTCAAGAAGGTGCGGTCGCTGTCCTGGACGACCATGTTTAGGCCGAGTCGCGAATGTCGTCGGTGCTGCCGCCGGGCTTTTCAGTGTTCAGAACCGAGACAGCGTCGCTGATTGCAAAGGAGATTATCCTAGTTGGTTTGGTGTGTCCGTATCGGGCCCAAAGTAATCGCAAACAATCAATCGAGGTGCTGTTGAAGATCGCATGGCGCGCCAAGCTGTTTTTGGCTAAAAAGACCCCGTTTTTGGTGCAGATGTGGTCGAGGGTCGAGCACAACGTAGCGGAGGAGCCTGAGCGCAATGGGCGACGCGACGCGCATGTAAGAGTCATTGAAGACGTGGAAGCCGGCGATCGTCTCAAATTTCTGCGTCACGGTGACGTCGACCAAGTTGTTGTACCGGTACTAGAACACTCGATAAAGACCGGAATGCGAGCGCGATCACGCCGAGGTACAAGAGCCACAAGACGTTCGTGAGGTTCAAGATACCCATGACACGGCTCTGGCCGTAAAATGACGCGGTACCCAAGAGGTCCCAGAGCATTTGAAAGCCCTTGTACATGGCACACTTGGCCCAGAGAAGCCGCGCGCTGAGTGAAAACGTCTTCAGCGAAGACATGCCCCTCAGGGTCCACGAGTTGTAATAGTTGATGTTCCGTACATAGATGAGGCAACTCTGAATGTCGAGGATCACCGAGAGCGCGTAGTGACAATTATGGGCGTGCTTTCCACAGTATCAATCAATCAATCAAACGTGTTCGCGTTGAAACCAAATTAGCAAAAACTAACTCAAAGACTTCGCATACGTAGTGCTACGCCTGAATGCGTGGGAGCTGGCACCAGCACTTGGTCGTTGGGAGTGAGCTGCGCACGGAGAGATCCATCCCGTGGTGGACCCCACTCCACAGTATCAAGTATTAATAAAGGGTACTCCATTTGCCAGGAGCAGTGGTTCGTCGTATTGGTACCATCACCGTACCTGCTGGTGCAGAATGATGTGATGGCACTTGGCGCCGTTCGTTTAAGAACGATGAACCATCCTCACCTACCACGATGGCAACAGGTACCTTGTGCTTGCTACAATCTCGTTATAAAGTGAAAAGAGTGCTGTTCCACCGCACCTATGAATATGAGTAGAGACGACAGCAATGGTCGCTGCGGTGCCACCGAGTAGCTCCGTCGAGTGCCACCGTGTAGCTCCGTCGAATGCCACCGATGATTGGCTTCCGCATAAACGGTCGTTCAACTTGGGTCCAACCGGAATCCGGATAAAGATACGTGTTAGGTTGGATTGCTCCCTTGCCCCCTTGCGGCCTTTTGGAAATATTTGAATCGGGTGGCAACGCTGGATCAAGAGCAATGGACATACGACTTGTACCTGGGTCGACGTGGTCGGATAGGGAATTTCAAAGATTACGTTATCGCTCACGTCTAATCACACGATCGTCGCATCGAGTTTCAAGAGAGGAAACCAGTTACATGCAATCACACAAACATGACCCGACTCTAATGTTTGCATTCCGGCGGAGAGCCCAGTGTTGAGCTTGCAGCCTACTGATCGACGAAACGAGCCAGAAAAATATCTGGTCCACCACAGCACGCGACAGAGTCGTTGGCGCACCATGTTGGCGCACCGTCGTGTACAAGGCGCCTGTTGTTACGGACCCACAATCCTGCGATTGTTGGTTTCCCAATGTATATTATTAGGTACGTGTACCACAACAGCCAGAAAAGACAACGCCTTTCAGGCAAAGACAACGCCTTTCAGGCAAGTCAACTCCAACTCCATGGTGACCAGCCCGACGCCAGCCATCCTCGCCTCGGTGCGCCGCGAGCACTGGCGCATCCAGTTCCGTAAATGGTACCAAGTCATCGTCACGGTCGCGGGCTTTTGCGTCATCCTCTTGATCGCGGGCGACGCAACAGTCAACAACTGGGCGATCGGCAATTTTCTCGGCGGCGGGTACTTTTTTCTGACGCCAATCGCATCCGTGCAGTCGCTAGCGCAGCTCCGCGCCAAGTACAGCTTTGCGAAGGACCTCGGTGTCGACAACTTGTCCAACTTGGGGCAGTGGATGTCCAACTTTTCGGTCGTGCACATGGTCACCAAGAGCGACAAGATCTATGTCATTCAAACCGGCGACATTCCGCTCACGCCTGACTCGGTGCTGTGCCCCATCTTCGAGTCGACGTACGCGGTGGACGTGGCGATCTCGAACAAGGTCAAGCTCGCGTTGTTGTCGGATGCTGTCACATTCTTTCGGGGCAACGCCGTGACCCACTTCTTCTCGGGCGATACGACAACGAACCTCGGCAATTCGAGTATGACGAGCGACGAGCTCATCGATCGCAACTACATTCCGGGACGCACGACCGTCGACAAGCGTTTTACGACCGAGATTGCACTTGTCAACTCGAGTGTGCCCCAAACGCACCGCGTCAACTACTACCGCATCTTCTCTCGGTCGTTCTGCTCGGGCTGCGACCCCGTCGCCGAGCTCGGGTACTCGGTCTGCAACATGACCATGGTCTACAACGACACGGCCAAGACGCTCACGGTCACTAACTCGCGCTTCCTGCCCGGATCCATGTACAAGCTCGGCTTTATCATGCCCAACAGCGCGTTCGGTCAAGTCGCGCTGGCGGCCAAGATTACGGCCATTGTCTTCGCCGTCTTCGGGTACCTCGCGAGCCGCCGCACGGTCCAGTGGCACGACGTGGACCCGACCAAGGCCGAGTCGGTCTTGACGCGCGCAGTCCGCACCGTGCTGCCCAAGGTCTTCCGGCACCAAAGCCACGCGCTGCGCTTTGACATGTTTTGCTACAACTCGGACATCTTTGTGTTTTTGTACGCAGCGAGCGTCCTCATTGACATTCCCAACTGTCTCTTGTACATGCGCAACGTCAACTTGTACACGATGTACGCGCCGCAGTTTCTCTACTCGCTCCAGCTCTTTTCACTGTCGACGCGACTCCTCTGGGTCAACTGCGCGATCCTCAAGGGGTGCAAAATTCTCTGGAACCTCCTCGGCGTCGCGACGTTCAATGGCGAGAGCGTCGTCATGCGCTTCTTCAACTGGAGCAGCGTCAAAACGCTCTATGCCAGTGCGGTTTTACTCTTTTACGTGCCGCCGTTCATCGAGTACAACAACTCGATCACGGTTGATGTGCGCAACGCGGTCCGGCGCATCGACGGCATTTGCGTCAACGTCTTTGATGGCTTTTACATGCGCGTCGCGTCGTCCATCACCATTGGCTTGATCGCCAACGTCCTGCTCCTCACAGCGCTCGACCACGTGATTTTTGCGAGATTTTGGCGCGTCATGACTAAAAACTCACTGGCGCGCCAAGCCATTTTCAACAGCAGCTCGATCCTATGCGACTACCTCGACGACGTGACACCCGATACGTCCGTCATCATCGTGACCGCGCGCCGATTGAGCACGCTGCAGTGGTTCTTTACGAGCCACCTCGTGTGCTTTGGCTTGCCCGAGAAAGGGCTGCGGGCCAACAAGAGCAAAGCCGTCACCGTCAAGGCCCCGCAAACCTCGCCCCACAAGCCCTTGTTGTCGTCGTTGTCGGCTGTCGTGCCCGATGAGAGTGCTGCCGCGACCGGTGACACGGGTTGCCGAGTCGTGCAAGACGGCGACCGCAACCTCTATCTCCTCGACCACAAGTACGCGGCCATCACGAGCCTCGCGTTCAACATCAAGATTTTAAAAAACACCACCATCACAATCCAGTAGCTTCATTTTTCTCCCTTCTCGCACGTGTCCTTTTGTCAAGTGCATAAACCCACCCTTTAACGCCATAAGGCTACCACGTGGATAAACGAACTTATCCTCGACATGAACAAAATCAATGACATGTAAATTTTCAAGTTTTAGACTTGAGCTACTTGTCTCGTGAGGCGTACTAGTACGATTTGGTCGTTCTTGGAGTGACGACGATGGTGGGGATCGAGCCAACACCTGTCCACGCATCTCTTCCTATCACTCTCATCCAGTGCTTGGGTCACGCGAAACCGCCACACGTAACCGGTAGCGCCTAGACAGACGACGACATCATGAGCGACGCGGCCGAGATAGCAGCTCGCCGCTCGCCCGGGCGTTGCGCCTCGCTGCCGCTGCGCGCGTCGATCCACGAGCTGGTACAGAGCAAGCAGCAGGCGCTGTGCGGTGGTTTGCCGCAAGAAAAATGCGAGGCACCCCGGGTCCTCCGCAGCGTGCAGAGTGCATCGAGGCTTCGAAGCCGCAGGCAGTCGACGACCAGCAGCACCGATGTCGACCCACTCGAGACACGCCATCGCCGGGCGTCGACGACGCACCCGGACATTGTAGACGCGAAGGGGCGTCCGGTCGTCGGCGTCGCGTATGGCAAAGGCACGATGCAGTACGTCAAATTCAGCTCGACCGAGGCGCCCGCAGCATCGCACGCACCGCCGCCGCGCTGCGGGTTTTGCCACGGCAACAACATGCTCTGGCAGCTCCAGTGCTCCTTCTGCGGCTGCCAGCGCGTGCGGGAGGCGCCGCGCATGCACTATGTCGTCAACACGCTTTTGAGTCTCGACCCGCACATCACAGCGAGCAAGGTCGACGAGTGAGACTCATGGCTTCTCGCAAGTGACATACCGAGTAGATGGCACGCAAGCTGTTGCGCTACGCCCAGTTTGACGCCGAGGCCCTGAAAGCCGACGCCGCGTTCCGCCAAGCGACCATGGTGCGGACCCGCGTCGCGATGAATATCATGAGTCGGACCTCTGACACGCTGCGCTTCCACATCATGCGCATGATCTTCAAGGCATGGCACAAGGTCCGCGCCGAAGCGACGGCGAGCGAAGACATCATGGCGCGCCTCATCCGCATCAAGGACATGCAAGCGCGGTCGCGGCGCAAGGCCGACACGTTCCGCGCATGGGCCGCGTTCCGAGAAATGTGCCAGGAGCAGCGTGCGCTGCGCTGGACGATCGCGCTCGACAAGTATGCGTTGTGTGCGAATTGTATCAAGTTGATATGTTGACGCATAGACGCCGCAAACTCGCCAAGCAGCGTGTGTGGATGCTCTGGATGCGGTTCGTGACCAAGCGGCTTCGAAAGCGCTGTCAACACATGAAGGACACTCTTTTGTACTATATCTGAACTCGATTGTAAGCTCGTTGACTGCAAATGGATGGTTGTAGGTCCAACAACCAAGCCCGGACGGCCGAGGTAGTACTGTCTTTTTCAATAAGAACGCTTGGATCGTGGCTGTAGGAGCTTGTCAAGGCCAAGAGCTTGCTCAACGAAGTCAAAGGCTCGTTGGTCATGGCCATGGACCAAATCGTCGCCGTGACGACCCAGCTCATGCCACTTGTCGACCTCCGTCTCCAGCGTGCGCGATCCATCTCGCTTTGTCATCGATACCATTGTGTTGTGTGCTATGATTGTAGAGCTACTGCACTATAAAGCCCTTGCGCCCGACACGGTCGCCTACGCCCTCGAGCCCACGTGCGCATCGGTACGTCTCGATCTTTTCACAAACACGATCCAATGGGTCTCTAGTCGGTCATGGACGCACTCATGGTCCACGACCTCTCGCTCGTCGCTGACATGACCGTGCCCAAAATGGACGTTCCGTTCGCCTCTAGTACGACGCTAAACGTCGTGGCAGCGCGGGTCACGGCCGAGCCCCCGCACGCAATCGTCTTGCGCTGGGTGAACGCAGCGATCACGAGCATCAACGCCACTGCATCGCTCACGGTACTCGCGCCGCTACCGACGCTCAGCGACGTCTACCTGCACATGGCGTCGCCCAAGCTCTTTCTCCACTTGCTGTGGTATTTTGTACCTGCGTCCAAAGCGACGTACGACAAGCGGTGGGACGAAGCCTGTCATCGCGACCCACTGCTCGCAACAAGCACACACCACACACTACACCGCGCGCAGTGGAAACTCTTTTTTGAGCTGGCGGCGATGTACGCAGCGCTCGGGCACGAGTTGGCGACCCGCGACGACATGGAAAGCAGCGACTTTAGCGCCTACTATTTGGTGCTCCTCCATTTGTTTGTGCAGTTTTACGACCTCTCGGTGACGCCGCCGGGGAACGCACCGACGAGCGAGCTGCACTTGTCGATCGACGGCGTCTGGGCCGCACTGCGCCCCGATATCTTTCCAGCGTACGAGTCGGACGCCGCGACGCGCGAGAGTTGCCGCAACATTTTACGCGACCTCGAGACGGTCCAGCACGCCCAAGCCCACGCGCTGCGACTGCACCACGCAACGGCACTCATCGTGGGCCAGCACACCCAGCACACGCTCGCGTCTGGCTTCGAGGACCTCGCACGCCGCAGCAGCGGGCGATGTACCAATGTGCAAGTGGCGCTCGAGAAGCAGCGCCTCGCGACGTCCGTGACGCTCAACTACAGCCGCCTCGAGTTCATATGTCCGCTCCCAGACGACTTTAAAGCGATCCAGAGCCTCCTCCAGACGCACGTGGTGCCGCTCCTTGATTTGTTCAAGAGCTGCGGCGTGAGCGCCGGTGGGTTCTCGCTCTCGGAGCACGGAA